CACGCTAATTCTAGAGTTATCGGACTTACAACGTCGTAATTAGATAACTGGCTCGTTACGAGAGCTCTGACCCTATTATTAATCCTAATGGGATCCACTGCCTTCAAGGACCCGGGAGTCCTGATCAGGAGACGTGCTCACATCTTGTCGAGATGCAGCCTCTTGCGGAGGTTGTAATTGGCCTGAATTGACACCGACCAAGTGGTCGGACTTGCTTGGAATGTGGTGAAGTGTATAGGATCCTTCTGGAACTCCCAGGAGTAACTTCCGTGTTGCATCGAGGCTGAGAACGTGGTGTCCCTTGTTGCATCCATTGCTGTAAAGGATGCAGTAGCCACACGCGAACTTATCTGTCGTTGTTCGCCTTTTCTTCCTCTTGGACAGGTGATGCTTGATCTTGACATTTGGGGGTGAATAGGTGCTATTCGACGAAGGAGAATGCCGCATTCTGCTAAATGGGGCTGAATCATCATGATGAGATGGTGTGCATTTAAATAGCAATTGAAATGAGAATTGTTGAATACGCTTGTGGGAGTTATATATTTTTTTCATTGATGACCACTATGGTTGGGCCTACTGCTATTTTTAGTGCGCCTGGTGCGAGGCCCAGTAACATTTTGAGTGGCCCAATGGATCAAGAACGAAGGAACGCGTTGGGCCTGTGGGAGGCCCACTCGAAATTAAGTGGCCCAGTTGTCCTCTAACTGAGCTATTGAATCCAACGTTTGTTCCATCTATTGGGCCATTATTTATTGGGCCTGGTGGGAGGCCCAGTTTGCACTTGATCGATCCATCTGATCAAGAAATGTCGATGTTGTTGGGCCACTTACATGGATGGCCCACATTGCGATAACCCTAATTCTATTCATTTATCTTCCCTGGCAAGCACAGTGGCACACAGATACTTTCTCGGACCTTGAGGTCCGAATGATTTAGAAGTGATAGGATTGTCTTATAATGATTCACAATCTAACAGAATTGTCTCACATACAACATCGATTCAATTCTAATCTATGCTTCATGACAGAGGGAATGAAGAAGGGAACCGTCCGATCTGCCACGTGTACTCAACCCAGTCTACCCAATACAATAGATATTTTGCAATGGGTTGGGTGACGTCATTCTATTAGGTTGGGTGACATCATCTGGGTAGAGCTGGTGACTGTTTACCATCATCTTCCTTTCGGCTGAATCCATTGTTTTTCACCAAAAAACACAAAATCCATTACGTCCCAATCATCTCATCTTGATCAAAACCAAGAATTAAGAGCAATATTCAATGGAAAAACCAAGATCTTCCAAATTCTAAGGTAATTTGTGCATATGATGCAAGAATTGTACTTCGAAGGTAGTTCACCTTCTTCATTCCCTCTGTCATGGAGCATAGATTAGAATCGAATTGATGTTGTATGTGAGACAATTCTATCAGATTGTGAATCGTTATAAGACAATCCTATCAGTTCTAGATCATTCGGACCTCAAGGTCCGAGAAAGCATCTGTGTGTCGCTGCGCTTGCCGGGAAGATAAATGAATAGAATTAGGGTTATCGCAGCGTGGGCCATCCGTCTAAGTAGCCCAACATCATCGACATTTCTTGATCAGATGGGTCGATCAAGTGTAAACTGGGCCTCGCACCAGGCCCAATAAATAATATCCAGTGGGCCTGCATAACATGTCGTCAACTTACTGATCCAATGGGCCAGTTAATTTCTAGTGGGCCTCGCACCAGGCCCAATAAATAATATTCAAATATATGGATAACTTGTTCTCAATTTCTTGATCCAGTGAGCCTTTTAAAATGTCATTGGGCCTCGTACTAGGCCCAATAAATAACAACACTAGGCCCAACCATATTGATCATCAGTGAAGAAAATATGTAACTCTCAGAAGTTTATTCAGCAATTCTCATGTCAATTGCTATTTAAATGCACCCTATCTCATCCTGTTGAATCAGCCCCATTTAACAGAATGCGGCATTCTCCTGCATCGAATAGCACCTATTCGCCTCCAGATATCAAGATCAGGCACCACCTGTCCAAGAAGAAGAAGAGGCGAACAACAAGAGTTAAGTTCGCGTGTGGCTGTCGCATCTTGCACAGAAACGGATGCAATGACGGGCACCACGTTCTCAGCCTTGATGCGGCAAAAAAGTTACTGTTGGGAGTTCCAGAAGGGATCCCCTCTACTTCACAACGTTCCAAGCAAGTCCGACCATTTGGTCGGTGTCAATTCATGCAAATTACAACCTTCGCAAGAGGTTGCGTCTCAACAAGATGTGGGCACGTCTCCTTATCAGGACTCTCTGGTCCTTGAACGTAGTGGATCCCATTAGGATTAACAGTAGGGTTAGGGTTCTCGTAACGAGCTAGTTATCTAATTTGGGCGTCATTAGTCCGATTACTCTAGAATTAGTGTGTAGATCCCTGCCACGTGTCTGGATCAACTGCATTGAAGCAGATTTCGAATTTGTATGCATCTTGTTTAAGGATGAAATGAATTGAAACATTTTTATTTTCGTGTTGCGTATCTATTACATGTGTCACTGCTGCATTCCCTATGTAATACATACGTACGAATACTCGTATACTATCCAGTACTCTACATTACATTTATATGTATATCCCTGTTCATGTAGGGTCCACTCCATCGTCCAAGGGAAGATTGTTCCCGAGTCCGAGGGTTCAATTCCTCCTCATCAGTCCACTTTTTCTACCGAAGAAGGTCAACTGCTCCCGATGGAGCTGCAGTCATCCGCACCATCCTCTGAATCCGACAGGGTTCTCTTGAGTTCCTCGACTGCCCTGAACAGCCGGTCCAATTTGCGGATGAGTCGAAGGCTCCCCATGCGAAGTGCGAAGTACATGTCGAGCAGCACTACGTGCTCTATGCCGTAGTCCCTCACAACCCTGAAGAATCCTGCCATGTCCCTCATGTTTGGCATTTTTTTCTGACCTTCAAAACGCACCGTATGGAGCAATTCACTGGAACAGGGCGCGTTGAGCAAAGAATGCTCAGTATTTACCGTCCTCTCCCTCTGCCATGTATCGTGCATCGCGGCCACCAGGGCGGGGACACGTGTCGTCCATCCCGATCAGAGCGGGAATAGTCGAAATTCGACGTGGGCGAAAAAATTCGAAATTGAATTTCGAATTTAAATTTTAAAGTTCAAATTGCAACAGTGCCTCCGAGCACTGTGCTATTTCACCCACTGGCATTGTGCATCCGAGTGGGGCCGACCCCTCCCGAGCGGTCAGTGGCCTTCGGCCACGTGGCAAAAAAGCATAGCGGCCCACGTTCCATTCCTATCGGAACATGGGGGGACACGCGGGGCTCGCCAGGCGGGCCGTGCAACCAAATTACCAAAATGCCATTGGGTTGAATAGATCTCAATCGTCCAATTATCCCTTGGAGGTGACATGGCCCTCCTATCCACCGTCCACGTGTCCGCCCTGATAGAGCACATTTTTGGAATTGCCAATTAATTCTTTAGGTTAATTTTTTCTCAAAATGTACTACAATTGTCATGAAGCATTGAATTTGTTTCAAAATTTTTAGATAAAATTTTAAACTAAAATATTGAATCTGTTGTATTACATAGGGATTTAATGCAGCCCTGCCACATGTCTGGATCAACTGCACTGAAGCAGATTTCGAATTTGTACGCATCTTGTTCAAGGATGAAATGAATTGAAACATTTTTATTTCCGTGCTGCGTATCTATTACACGTGTTACTGCTGGATTAAATCCCTATGTAATACATACGTACGAATACTCGTATACTATCCAGTATTCTACATTACATGTATATGTATATCCTTGTGTGTGTGGGATCAACTCCATCGTCCAAGGGAAGATTGTTCCAGAATCCGAGGGTTCAATTCCTCCTTATCAGTCCACTTCTTCTACCGAAGAAGGTCAATCGCTCCTGGTGGAGCTGGTGCCATCCGCACCGTCTTTCGAGTCCGACAGGGTTCCTTTGAGCTCCGCGACTGCCCTGAACAGCCGGTCCAATTCGCGGATGAATTGAAGGCTCACCATGCGAATTGCGAATTACATGCCAAGAAGCACCATGTGCTCCATGTCACAGTCGCTCACGACCCTGAAAAATCCTGTCATTTCCCTTATGTTTGCCATTTTTTCTGGCCTTCAAAATGCATCGTATCGAGCAGTTTACCGCAACTGGGCGTGTCAAGCAAGGAATGCTCTGTATTTATCGTCCTCTCCCTCTGCCACGTGTCGCGTATCGCGGCCACCAGGCCGGGGACACGTGTCATCCATCCCGAACAAAGCGGAAGTATTCAAGATTCAAAATTCGAAGTGGGTGGAAAAATTTGAAATTGAATTTCGAATTTAAATTTTAAAGTTCAAATTGCAATAGTGCCTTCAGGCACTGTGCTACTCCACCCACTGGCACTGTGCATTCGTGTGGGGCCGACCTCTCCCGAGCAGCTAGTGGCCTCTGGCCACGTGGCAAGAAAGTGCAGCGGCCCACGTCCTGTTGGAACGTGGGGGGATACGTGGTCCCGCCAGGCGGGCCGTGCAATCAAATTACCAAAATATTATTGGATTGAGTAGATCTCAACCGTCCAATTATCCTTTAGAGGGTGACGTGGCCCCCTATCCACCGTCCACGTGTCCGCCTCGAGCGTCTTTATAATATTATAAAACTCTCGGGAAGGACACTATATAAGCCAACCCATTCTACCCCGTTGGGTGACATCATCAGGTTGGGGTGAGCTTCAAGATGTCGAGAGCACCTTCTTCCTTTTCATAAACGCGAAGAACATATTCCTGACCTATCCCAGGTGTGTTCTTCCCAAATAACAAGCATTAGATGCAATTAGGAACATTTAGTTTCCTATTTCTCTAATTTACGTACGAGTTGCTCAAGAAACCCACCATGATGGATCTCCTCACTATTTTCTGATTCAATTCGCAAGTAAATTTCGCACTGAATCTGTGAGATTCTTTGATATCAAATCACCAAATTCAAATTCGATGTTCCATCCGAATGTTCAAGGTACGAGAAATTCCTCCGCAGTTAGGGATTACATATCAAAATACGGAGATTTTGTCGAATGGGGGGAGTTTCTGCTAGATGGCCGGAGCAGATTATCGTCTGACAAATCTGCGGAGGTGTATGCCACTGCGCTTGCCGGGGAAGATAAAGGAATGACCCTCAATATTATCAAGAAGGGCGATCCTCGATCGTTCATCATTCACTACGACAAATTATCGAGTAATCTTGATAGAATATTCCAGAAGCCACCAGAACCATACGTGGCTCATTTCCCACAGGCCCAACGCGTTCCTTCGTTCTTGATCCAATGGGCCACTCAAAATATTATTGGACCTACTAACAGACCACACATGCCCATGTCTATAATAATAGAAGGTCCAACTCGAACTGGCAAAACATGTTGGACTAAAAGTCTCAATTCTCAGGCCCACAATTACTATGCAGGCCATATTGATCTGGCACACCACTGTGATGATGCGTGGTATAACGTCGTAGACGACGTAAACCCTCAATTTCTCAAACACTGGAAGAAATTCTTAGGTGCACAACGAGATTGGTCATCGAATTGCAAATATGCCAAATCCAATAAAATAAAAGGGGGAATTCCGACAATTGTGCTTTGCAATGCTAGTCCCAATTCTTCGTATCACGACTACTTAAGTGCATCAGATCGTCAGGATCTTTTCAACTGGACTAAATAGAATGATGCATTCTACTCCCTGGAACAACCCTTTTTTGCACTCACAAACCAAGATTAGGCACCACCTGTCCAAGAAGTTGAAGAATTGGACAACAACAACTAAGTTCGCGTTGGGCTGCATTCTCAGATATTCTTGATCAGATGGGTCGATCAAGTGTTAACTGGGCCTCATACCAGGCCCAGGTGAATTTCACCAAAAATATTCTCAATTTCTTGATCCAGTGGGCCCTTTAAAATGGCACTGGGCCTCTCATCAGCCCCAACAAATAATGGCCCAATAGATGGCTAAAATATAGTCTCTCAATAGGCCTGGATTAACTGTACTGAAGCAGATTTTGAATTTGTACGCATCTTGTTTAAGGATGAAATTAATTGAAGTGTTTTCATTTCCATGCTGCGTGTCTATTACACATGTCACTACTGCATTAAATCCCTATGTAATACATATGTATGAATACTCGTATACTATCCAGTACTTTACGTTACATTTATACGTATATCCCTGTGAGTGTGGGGTCCACTTTATCGTCCAAGGGAAGATTGTTCTCGAGTCAAAGGGTTCAATTCCTCCTCATCAGTCCACTTCTTCTACCGAAGAAGGTCAACTACTCCCGGTAGAGTTGGTGCCATCCGCACCATCCCCGAGTCCGACAGGGTTTCCTTGAGCTCCTCAATTGCCCTGAACAGCCGGTCCAATTCGCGGATGAATCTAAGGCTCCCCATACGAAGTACATGCCGAGGAGTACCACGTGCTCCATGCCGAGTCCCTCACGACCCTGAAGAATCCTGGCATGTCTCTTATGTTTGCCATTTTTTCTACTCTTCAAAACGCACCGTATCGAGTAGTTTACCTCAAATAGGCTTGTCAAGCAAGGAATGTTCCGTATTTATCGTCCTCTCCCTCTGCCACGTGTCAAACATCGCAACCACCAGGCCGGGGACGCGTGTCGTCCATCCCGACCAGAACGGGAGCATTCAAAATTCGAAATTTGACGTGGACGGGAAAATTCGAAATTGAATTTCGAATTTAAATTTTAAAGTTCAAATTGCAACAGTGCCTCCAGGCATTGTGCTACTCCACCACTGGCACTGTGTATCTGTGTAGGGCCGACCTCTCTCGAGCGGCTAGTGGCTTTTGGCCACGTGGCAAAAAAGTACAGCGGATAGACACGTGGGGCTCGCCAGGCGGGCCGTGCAACCAAATTACTAAAATACCATTGGGTTGAGTAGATCTCAACCGTCCAATTATCCCTTGGGGTGACGGGGTCCCCTTATCCACCGTCCACGTGTTCGCCCCGAGTGTCTTTGTAATATTATAAGACGCTCGGGAATGACACTATATAAACCAACCCATTCTACCCAATACTAGGGATACTTTGTATTGGGTTGGGTGACATCATCAGGTTGGGGTGAGATTCATGATGCCGAGAGCACCTTCTTCCTTCTTCATAAACGCGAAGAACATATTCCTCACCTATCCCAGGTATGTTCTTCCCAAACAACAAACATTAGATGCAATTAGGAACATCCAGTTTCCTATTTCTTCAACTTACGTACGAATTGCTCAAGAAACCCACCATGATGGATCTCCTCACCTGCATTGTCTGATTCAATTCGCAGGTAAATTTCACACTGAATCTGTGAGGTTTTTCGATATTAAATCACCAAATTTAAATTCGATGTTCCATCCGAATGTTCAAGGTACGAGAAATTCCTCCGTAGTTAGGGATTACATATCAAAATACGGAGATTTTGTAGAATGGTGGGAGTTTCGGCCAGATGGCCGGAGCAGATTATCATCTGACAAATCTGCGGAGGTGTATGCCATTGTGCTTGCCGGGGAAGATAAAGAAATGGCCCTCAATATTATCAAGAAGGGCGATCCTCGATCGTTCATTATTCACTATGACAAATTATCGAGTAATTTCAATAGAATATTCCAGAAGCCACCAGAACCATACGTGGCTCGTTTCCCACAGGCCCAATGCGTTCTTTCATTCTTGATCCAATGGGCCACTCAAAATGTTACTGGGCCTGCTAACAGACCACACAGGCCCATGTCTATAATAATAGAAAGTCCAAGTCGAACTGACAAAACATGTTAGGCTAAAAGTCTCAATTCTCAGGCCCATAATTACTATGCAGGCCATATTGATCTGGCACACCACTGTGATGATGTGTGGTATAACGTTGTAGACGACGTAAACCCTCAATTTCTCAAACACTGGAAGGAATTCTTAGGTGCACAACGAGATTGGTCGTCGAATTGCAAATATGCCAAATCCAATAAAATAAAAGGGGGAATTCCGACAATTGTGCTCTGCAATGCTAGTCCCAATTTTTCGTATCACGACTACTTAAGTGCATCAGATCGTCAGGATCTTTTCAATTGGACTAAATAGAATGCTGCATTCTACTTCCTGGAACAACCCCTTTTTGCACTCACAAACCAAGATCAGACACCACCTGTCCAAGAAGTTGAAGAATTGGACAACAACAACTAAGTTCGCATTAGGCTGCATACTCAGATATTCTTGATCAGATGGGCCAATCAAGTGTTAACTGGGCCTCACACCAGGCCCAGGTGAATTTCACCAAAGATGTTCTCAATTTCTTGATCCAGTGGGCACTTTAAAATGGCACTGGGCCTCTCATCAGGCCCAATAAATAATGGCCCTATAGATGGCTAAAATGTAGTCTCTCAATAGGTCTGGATCAACTACACTGAAGCAGATTTCGAATTTGTACACATTTTGTTTAAGGATGAAATGAATTGAAGTGTTTTCATTTCCATGCTGCGTGTCTATTACACGTGTCACTACTGCATTAAATCCCTATATAATACATACGTATGAATACTCGTATACCATCCAGTACTGTACGTTACATTTATACGTATGTCCCTGTGAGTGTGGGGTCCACTTCATCATCCAAGGGAAGATTGATCCCGAGTCAGAGGGTTCAATTCCTCCTCATCAGTCCACTTCTTCTACCGAAGAAGGTCAACTGCTCCCGGTGGAGTTGGTACCATCTGCACCGTCCCCGAGTTCGACAGGGTTTCCTTGAGCTCCTCGACTACCCTAAATAGCCGGTCCAATTCGTGGATGAATCGAAGGCTCCCCATACGAATTGCGAAGTACATGCCGAAGCGCACCACGTGATCCATGCTGCAGTCCCTCACGACCCTGAAGAATCCTGCCATGTCCCTTATGTTTGCCATTTTTCTGCTCTTCAAAACGCACCGTATCGAGTAGTTTACCGCAACTGGGCGTATCGAGCAAGGAATGCTCCGTATATATCGTCCTCTCCCTCTGCCACGTGTCACACATCGCGGCCACCAGGTCGGGGACACGTGTCCTCCATCCTGACTAGAGCGGGAGTATTCGAAATTCGAAATTCGACGTGTGCAGGAAAATTCGAAATTGAATTTCGAATTTAAATTTTAAAGTTCAAATTGCAACAGTGCCTTCGAGCACTATGCTACTCCACCCACTGGCACTGTGCATCCGTGTGGGGCCGTCATTTCCGAGCGGCTAGTGGCCTTCGGCCATGTGGCAAAAAAGTACAGCGGCCCACGTTCCGTGCAACCAAATTACCAAAATGCCATTGGGTTGAGTAGGTCTCAACCATCCAATTATCCCTTGGAGGGTGACGTGGCCCCCCTATCCATCGTCCAAGTGTCCGCCCCGAGGTACATTTTGAGAAAAAATTAACCTAAAGAATGAATTGGCAATTCCAAAAATGTACTATATGTGGACATTTTTAAACTAAAATATTGAATCCTTCCCCACACCACCAACTCCCACTTTCTATTTCTCCGTACAAGTGACTAAAATTTGATCTTACTAAAAAAAACGTTCACTATTTTGGTTTTTTAATAATTTATTTTATCCTGTCTTCCATTGTTCTTTTAGAAAAAGTTTTAGTGAAAAGCTTTTGGATTTTGGATTTTCTCTCTTAGCTATTTGATTAGTTGTGCATGTCCAATCAAATCTTTTGAAAGATTTAGTTGATCAATTCTTGGTTTTGATGATTAATGAAATAAAATTATGATTTGAACTAATATTTCAAGTGAGTTTTTCATTAGTATAGGTGGGCAAATAATTGAAAAAGGAAAGGAAGCAAAACAAAAAGAAATAAAAATTTTCGCTAAGCATCGGACGCACACCAAAAGGATCGGGCATCTGAAAGATAAAGTGAAAATTAGTTCTAATAATCGGACGATGGATCAAACACATAGCTGCACTATTAGACGTCCGACAGATTAAAAGGAAACTTTAGAATTCTTTGTTTCTATCAGACGCATCTTTGGGATGTCTGAAACTCGTAGCAAAAACTCATTCAACATACCTTCGGATGCAATGTCGGATGCAAAACAATTGGATTGGACTTCTGACAAGGTGTCGGATGCAGGATCGTATGTTTGACAATTTTGACTGCTAGTTTTTCAACAATACATTTTTTTTTACTATTGGAGAGATTTTTTGGGTAAATTTTCACTGTCTATAAATGTCCCTAAATCTATAAATACGAAAGACTTTGTCTACATGAGATACAACCTTTCAAGAGTGATTTTTGAATAGAAAATACTTTGAATATTGTATAGGTGTGGGGTAAGTTCTTGGCTGTATGAGGTATCTCATTGAGGAGGAGTAAAACTATGAAAAAGATGAACCTTACTTGTAAGTATTTTTCATTGTTAAGATGAGCATTGAATTGTACTTTAAAGAGGGTTAACTAAAGAAAGTTGTAAAATCTCTTGGCTCAACTAAAGTTGGGATACTTAGTGTGATGATACGAACTCGACCCAACAAGAACCTGTCTTGAAGAACCGAATCGATCAGGCAGCGGAAGGATCTATCTTGACCAGGTTATGGATACAAAGATGGAGAAACCTTACGACCCCTCTAATCCCCGTGACTACGAACTTGTTGATATTATCTCAACCTGTAACCAAACGAATTAGTGAACCTCAGGCAAGTGTAGAAGGCGCCACAATTCAACATGGTCTTGAATTGATAAGCCGAAACTTGAACAAAGGAGATACAACTCACTTTGTATCAAGGAACGCTCCCAAAGGAACAAGAAAGAGAAAACTCTCAATTTTTATTCATCTCATAATTCCCCTCAATAGTTAAATAAAGTTGGCTATTTATAGCCTTGCAAGACTCAAAATCCTAATCTAAATTGGAAACAATACAAGTTTCCTTATTTTCCTTATTTGACTTGACTTCTAAACTTGACACAATTTCCTAAACAAATTTGGAAGCAATTAACTACTTTCCTAAAACTCTAATTCAACTAGAATAGGAACTAACTAATTCAAATTGGCTTAACTATGGTCAACATGACCTTAGCCTTTATTCCCTAATTCAAACAACTTACTTAACTCTCAATTTGGAAATCAATAAAGATATCAATCAAGATTTGGAAATCAATCAAGATACGAATCAAGATTTGGAAGCCAATTAAAATTTGGACGATTTGGATCTTCAATGATTCTTGAGCCCGATTGCACCATCAACCATCATTGGAATGTTAAGACTTGTAAAATGAAAGGAATCCATGCAAATCTTCATGTTCTCATCATTCCCCTCCTCTTGAAAGACGATTTGTCCTCAAATCGAGTGCTTGTTTACAAAGGAGTAACTCGGAGAATGTTATATGTAATCCAAGAACTTCAAGAAATTATCAAGCCAACTACAAGAAGCAAGAACAACAAGAAACAACCACAAGGTATGGGAAAAACGAAAAAAAAAAAATTTCGGATGAATAGTACTGCTACAGTTGCGGCGATGAACAGTACTGCTACAGTTGTGAACAGTCCGATGAACAGTACCGCTGTGAATAGTATATATTTTTTTATTATTATTTTTTTTTCTTTTGACGACTCGATGCAAGGTTAGGACTTCACTTGGAAGAAATTTAATGGGAGTTAAACCCTTGAAAAACCTGTTTTCAAGAATGTAATCACATCAAAAAATTTCAACCTCGATCAATCACAGGGTAGGTTAAACTCAAGTGATAAAATCAAGAAAACAAGAATCAAAATTTTTTTTTTGTTTTTTTAAAATCAAAAGGCGTCTAGGGTTTTGTTAGAAAAATAAATAGAAAAAAAAAAACAAAAGGATATTAACCTGAATCAAGAGCCGAACCTCTGATACCAGATGATACGAATTCGACCCAACAAGAACCTGTCTTGAAGAACTGAATCGATCAGGCAGCGGAAAGATCTATCTTGACCAGGTTATGGATACAAAGATGGAGAAACCTTACGACCCCTCTAATCCCCGTGACTACGAACTTGTTGATATTATCTCAACCCGTAACCAAACGAATTAGTGAACCTCAGGCAAGTGTAGAAGGCGCCACAATTCAACATGGTCTTGAATTGATAAGCCGAAACTTGAACAAAGGAGATACAACTCACTTTGTATCAAGGAACGCTCCCAAAGGAACAAGAATGAGAAAACTCTCAATTTTTATTCATCTCATCATCCTCTTCCAATAGTTAAATAAAGTTGGCTATTTATAGCCTTGCAAGACTCAAAACCCTAATCTAAATTGGAAACAATACAAGTTTCCTTATTTTCCTTATTTGACTTGACTTCTAAACTTGACACAATTTCCTAAACAAATTTGGAAGCAATTAACTACTTTCCTAAAACTCTAATTCAACTAGAATAGGAACTAACTAATTCAAATTGGCTTAACTATGGTCAACATGACCTTAGCCTTTATTCCCTAATTCAAACAACTTACTTAACTCTCAATTTGGAAATCAATAAAGATATCAATCAAGATTTGGAAATCAATCAAGATACGAATCAAGATTTGGAAGCCAATTAAAATTTGGACGATTTGGATCTTCAATGATTCTTGAGCCCGATTGCACCATCAACCATCATTGGAATGTTAAGACTTGTAAAATGAAAGGAATCCATGCAAATCTTCATGTTCTCATCATTCCCCTCCTCTTGAAAGACGATTTGTCCTCAAATCGAGTGCTTGTTTACAAAGGAGTAACTCGGAGAATGTTATATGTAATCCAAGAACTTCAAGAAATTATCAAGCCAACTACAAGAAGCAAGAACAACAAGAAACA